AATTAATGGTCGACGGGTTCATCTGTTTAATAGTCCGAATCACCGATTAATCCATACTCCCAAGCCAAGCGAGCGACTACCAATTAATGATTTCCTCAACATTGGGTTTTTCTCTCTAACACACATGGAAAAATCTTTGAAAATGTACCTAATATTTGTACAGCATGGCAATGTATTTTCTGTGTGCATGATTTTGCTGGAAGAACTAGATAGTGGACCAAGGCAAATCCATATTTTCCTGTTATGTTTTTTATTTATTGGCAGGTTAACTTCAGAAAAAGGATTTTGTTCTTTAAAAAACAATGATCAAAATTACAATAAAAAGGTATTTGTTCTTTGAAAAAAGGTGGCAAATCTATAATTTTCCATGGGAACGTGAAAAAATGGGAAAGTTGTTTTCTCGAAAGACATGGTACCATTTAAATAAATTTATAATTTGCCATGTGCACATGACAAATTTATAATTTGCCATGTGCACATGACAAATTTATAAACTACGATGGTCTAACTAATGAAAATGCCATGGTCTAAATAATAAAAGTACCATGGTCTAGTTAATATGTTTGTCGTGGTCTAAGACAATTTCCCATGGGTCCGGGGAAAATGTAAATTTGACATGCTATGGAAATAAAGTTTCCATGTCCTTGAAAATAAAATTACGATGGTCCAGTAAGAAACTGAGATGTCATGGCTATGTAAATAAAATTGCCATGTATTTGAAAGTAAAATTGCCATGGTTCAGCAATGCAAAACTGGCATGGTATATGAAATTAGAAACGATCTATAAGTCAAAGGAAAATGTAGAAAAAACGTGTCATGGCAAATTACAATTTCTTTTTATTTTTATTTCTAAAATAAAGAATGTCAAAAAATATTCTAACAACATTTATCATGATGCTCACATGGTGATTTTCCAGAATCGCCTTGGAAAAAGTTTACGTTTGGAAATTGGCATGACAAAAAATGCCATAAAAAAGAATAGTACAAAACAAAAAATTATGAACGAAATTGCCACGGCAGATGCATATTAAAAATTCCATGGGATTTTAATTAAAATTGCCATGTTTTTGTATAAGAAATTTTCCATCTATGTAAAATGACATAAATTATGAACAAAAAATCGTTGCAGCACATGCATATTAAATTTGTCATGCGATTTTACTTTTAATTGCCACCTTTTCTGTAAGAATTTTTCCATGAATGTGAAATAACACAAAACATGACCAAAATTGCCATGTCGGATGTAAATTAAAATTATCCGTGGGATTTTTTTATTAAAAATTGCCATGTTATGTATAAGAAATTTCCCATGTATGTAAGCTAATTTTTTATATCAAAATGGAAAAGGATGTTTCGTTGGTGGTGCCGATGGCGGAAATTCCCAGGGAAAATGCATATTAAATTTGCCATGTTATTTAAATAAAATTGCCATAGTTTGGGAAAATAAATCTGCGATGTCAGAAAGAAAATTAGCCATGTTCCATGTCAAACGTTAAGGTAAAATTACCATGATTGTATACTCTGTTTCTTAGGCATTTGCCATGTGAGCAAAAGCCACATCTTCATTTTAGGACCTCCCTTCAAGTTGTACTCGGTGAGTATAACACTAGACACTATAAATTTGGACAAAGTCTTACTAGTGGTATACCAACGACGACTATATGAGGAGGAGCTTACGAGTGGTATACCAGCAGGGAGTAGAGGATTTGCTGAAAAAAATAGGATTGCTTATCTGCTGTGAAGTGCTTCAAGTCTTCTGGCACCCATTCATATGGATAGGTCATTGTTGAAGTGAGGACCGGGCAAAATCCTTCCGGAAGAATGTGGATTGGCTCGTTCTACTATGGTTATGCCTATTGGCCACCATGTTTTGCTAACAGACATTCCAGTTGGACTATGTATACCACGCAACATTTTTGAGGTGATAAAGTGCCAGTAGTTCTAAAATGCCATGTATACATAGGAGCTTTCCAACATGTGTACACATGGCACATGCATGTCCACGGAATGTCCTCAAATTCTCACGCTGAATTTTGATGAAAATCAAAGGTAAATTCATCGGACTCGCTAACCTCCCACTAGACGCACCGTAGCGAAAAGGACCGAAAGTTTTTTTTAGTGGGAGAACTTAAATAAACACGAATAAGCCAACTCCACATTCTCAACAAGTACCTATAAAAATTGAACTATACAAAAGAAACTCAAACTAAGATATTTACCCGGCCTTTGACCGTCCCAGCAAAAAAAACTTGGCCTTTGACCTGAGTTTGTAGCATACTATGGCAGTGTTTGATTGTTTGAAGGTCATAAAAATGCTTGTTATGATCTTACAAATGTCGAAAATGTGTCTTGAAGCCCAAGCTCCATGGAGCCATTTAGAAAAAGTAATAGAATAAAGTTTTTGTCTTTTTTTGTAGCTCACATGTTACAATATCTCCCAATAAAATTTTATACATTGGTAGAATACTTCTATACATACATGTGACAACTTTTCTGAATGTTTTGAAAAAAATATAATTCTAAAAACTTAGGTTTCCATGTAGCCCGAGCTCCAATGTTTTCACTTGTATTCTCTATGTACCCTTCCTTTTCTTGCAAACTTTTTGTATGTACCATTCTTGTCTTCCTTGAATCAACATACCCTAAATTTTAAAAAGAATCAGCGAAATGATTCCTTGGCAAGCATTATATTTTATATCGGTTGAATGGGTAAGCCTTCACTGAATAAAACATATAGATAAACTATATTTCAAATTGAATGCATTAACAGTAACACGAACTGTCTTGTGGACGCAGTCCCCCCATCGAGATCGAGACAGCTTGTGGCACTAAATATGATCAAGACGCAGGACAGAGACAAATCTCGTCATGCTAAAAGTGTAAGAAGAATCAGCCAAATGATTCTTCGGAAAATGTTCTATTTATTTTTTATCGGTTCGATGGGTAAGGCTTCACCTTCACTAAAAAGACAAAATAGATAACAATTTTGCTAAGTCTTAGTCGGCCGAGACTTCATTATGTCTCAGTCGATACTATATTCCTTTGATCTTGCATGGAGATTCGTATATTTTTTTCTTTTCAGTTTTTTTTCTAATATACTATTCACTTGACTAAGACTTTGGTTAAATCTCAATCGACTGAGACCTAACCACACCCAGTAGATAAACTTTGTTTCAGACTGAATGGATTAGCATAAACACGGCAATAAAGATCGTCGCTAAAATAAAATAAAAATCAAAGTAGCTTGTTTGCAGCTGGATCTCTAATCAGCACGTTTCACCATTACTATGGCTCCGATCGAGGACCGTGAGGGAGCGAGCTGGCCGGTCAAACGCCCGAGAAAGGAGGAGTCAAACGCCGTCGTCGCATCAAAAAGCTCTTCGATGTCGTCTAGAGCTCTTAAAACCATGGCGTGCATGCGCTTTCGCCGCGCCCCAGATTAATCCGCCCACAATTCCCTGCACGGTGTCGTCCTCTCCTCGCGACCGATCTCGGGGAAAACCATGCCCGCCGACCCGTCAGCTGTCACACACACAGGCAAGCAATGCAGCTGGAATGATGACCGGGCAGCCGCCGCACGCGCGCGCGCCCCGGGCCGGGGGCGGCCGCGACAGGAGGCACAATCACGCTCCGGCCTCTCCGTCCGGCCAGCCGGCCACAGAGGCAGGCTAGCTAGCCACTCGTGTGCATGCACCGTGCTTGAACTTTAATGGCCGGCATGGCGCGCGTAGCACGAAGCTCGTGCTCCGTGATGGGTAGATCGCCTTTACCGGACACGGGCGATGGCGGTGTCCGGGCAGGGCCCGGCACCGGGCGATCTGTGGCAGCCGCTGCAGGTTCGTGAAACATAGGCGCGCCGGCACATGCACGGCCGGACGAATGTTTTTACTGTTGCGTGCAGCGCACATGTAGTACAGACCACAGTCTAGCCAGTATTTTAAGCTACTCATCTCACTAGCTGGGGATCGATACAGGGTAGGGGCTTTGCATCTTCACTACTACTTTCATTTCTGCGACAAGTAATTTGAAACGGAGAGAGTACTTCTTTACGGGCAGGGGAGGGAGTTTTAGCGGGACATTCATGCATGCACGTGCCCACTTGCGGGATACCTGTCCCCTGCCCCGTCGTCGGATCTCCTGTGCTGTGCGTGCCGGTGGCGGCTTGACTGGCCGGCTGACTGGCTGGCTCCATCGCCGGCTACCGTTACCGTGCTTGGTTGGTTCAGCTTGATTTCCCATGGGCGGCTTCCTGTTCCAGCAGCCCTTGTGTGAACTTAACTACATTGTACTTCTCTTCTGCATAGAAAAATCTGGGATTACAAGTGCTGGTAGACATAACGTGTTGAATAGTTCAAGATGCTCGCCTGTGTGGGAAATTCGGGGATGATAATGATCTGTGTACTGTATATATGCAAGTTGTGGCGGCGTTGTCATCTTGTTTAGTCATGGTGCATGTGAGTGATGCAAAGGTTCGACATTGCATCCTAGGTCTCCTAAATTTGCATGTCAATTTCGTAAGGATGCTGCATATTTAGTTGCTGCGTTGGAGACGGCCGGTCACGCCTGAGCTGATTTGTTTAGGGGTGACCACGGAGGCAGCCACGCAGGAGACCGGGGCGTCGACGTGGCGGGCCGCCGGTCGGGTCCCACGGCGACAGCGGTGCCAGGGTTCGTTGCCGGACCGCACCCAACCCGACCGCCGCCCGCCAGGGTCCGCAGCCCCTGTCCCCGCCCCGGATCCTCTCTGCGCGCAACCGCCGGATGACCCATACCACGCCGCCTCCTCGCTGGCCGGCACCACCCTGCTCCCCCTCCCCTCCTCCTACCCGGCACAGAGGATCGGGTAGCTCACGTATCGTACCAACGGCCGGTGTATATATACGGCAGCACCGGCCAGCCAAAGCTTTGCCATTCACGACCCACGCCTTCCATTCCTAGTGTCCCAAACTTCCAGCCTCTGAACCCACCGACTGATCGTACAGTACATTAATTTGAGAGTGATGGGTAGCTATGGTGGAGACGATAGCGGCGTGGAGCTGACCGAGCTGACGCTGGCGCCGCCGGGCGAGAGGGCGCGGAGGGCGAGGCGGGCGAGGAAGAGCGTCGAGGCGGCGGCGTTCGTGAAGGTGAGCATGGACGGGACGCCGTACCTGCGCAAGGTGGACGTGGCGGCCTACGGCGACTACCTCGAGCTCCTCCAGGAGCTCAACGCCATGTTCTACTGCTGCTCCATCGGTAAGCAACCAAAGCTTCAGCATATCGATCGATCCACCATCTTTTGGCCATGTTAAGGTTTGTGCACTGACGCGCGCGCATGCATGTATATGCAGGCCTGATGGACGGGTACGGCCAGTGGGAGCACGCCGTGGTGTACGAGGACGGCGACGGCGACTGGATGCTCGTCGGCGACGTGCCCTGGGAGTAAGCACCACCGCACCAATTGTTGGATCGCGTCGTCGCACTATGCAATAATGCAAATGTTCTGATCTCGAACTGTTGTGTGAATCTGCAGGATGTTCGTGTGTTCGTGCAGGCGGATGAGAGTGATGCGAGCGTGCGAGGCGAGAGGGCTGAGCGCCAACGCGTGACGGACCTATTTGGTGCCGCAGGTGAGAATTCGCCAAAAGTCTCACAGGCTAACAGAATTGCAGGGTCTTCATTAAAAAAATGAATTACAGAAATATGTTTGATTTTTTTTAAGAAAACGAACGATATGTGGTTGAAGTTTGACCTGATATACTAAACTGATAGGAGTAGCTTATACTAATAAAATGTTTATCCCGTTTCAGATCTTCGGTGCGTGTAGATATGATCTGAACCTTGCATGTCGCTCCAGTGGGTGTGACAGCGATGAGGAACCAAGGAAGCAAGGAAGACGATGGCGCGATTCTGACGAGGCCATGCAGATACGATCCCGTACCTCTAATCCAAGATCGACCGGCGTGCCATCAGTTGGGAATAAAATGTTGGTTGACTTGGATAAAAATATAGTTTGGCCGATATGAGCCTCATCTTGTTTGCTTCTCGCACGAGGCTGACGATACGGTTGACTTGGCAAGATCCCAATATTCTAGTACTGCTAGTGTAGTTCCATCCCTCGTCGATCCTTGGGTTCCATCTAGTTAATTTCTTCGGCTGTTTGTCACATGTACATGGATCACCTCGCAAAAAAAAAAAAGTACATGGATCAAGAGTTTGTGCACCTCCCAAATTTTGATGAAATGTGCTTAATTCGCCTTAAATTTGGAACATATTTTTTTGCTCGGACCTCCAACTTGGAAGAATCTTGAATTGAGCGGGCAACTCTGTTTGTTGGGTTCATTGTTGTGCATGGCATGAAGAATCATGTCAGATAGTACTAGGTGGCTGGCCGGATTGTTTTTGCATAAATAACTTCTAACATAATCATAATCAATCATGTCCATATAGAGAATATTAGAGGTAATAAAAATTATAATCAGGTTTGTGGACCATCACAAACACATAAGCGAATAAAAGGCGCCCCAACCAAGACACTGAAAGTAACAAGAAAGAGATCAGGGTCCCTCAAGGTCCAACGCACTTCCAAGACCCAAAAGGCATCGGAGGCGAGGCAGACCGGCTGCAGCGCCAACGGGGGGAGGAGTAAACCTAACAACATGGCTCATAGGGGTAGAGTGTCCGTGCATGCGTTTATAGAGGTGAGTGTATGTGTGAGCATTTGTCATTTGTATCATGTTCAAAAACCTAATGGCATGGAAGTCCTTCCTACTGGAATTTTATCTATTTATGGACCAACCCAATAACAATTTCAGAAATTTTTAATAAATCCTAGAGGCCCACTTAGCCCATTCGTGCAAGGCAAGGGGCACTACTAAAGTTTAGTCCCACATTGCTAGTTTAGAGTGAGTTGGACCTCTTTATAAGGGAGGTTCTTTCCCCACATGTATGAGCATGAGAACAAGAGGGACATCCACACGCGCTCCTCCTCCGCCGCCCGCCTCGCCACACCTTGTCACGATGCGTCGCGGAAGTCCGTTCGCTTCATCTCCCTCTTTTGCTTCATCTCCCGTCGTTGTGGTCTCGCCTCCTTCTCTTGCGCCTATAAAAGGGAGGTCACTCCTCTCAGAGAGGTGCATCAGAACTTCTTCCTCTCGCCACCGGTTCCAATCTCTGAGCTGCTGCTGTCTTCCTCATCCCGGCTTGCGGCGTGCACCGCGAGTCGGGACAGTAGGCCTCTGAAACCCCACCGCTTTGAATCCTGTACGGGAGAAGGGTGATAAGGTTTTTGGGGAGTGCTATGCCCGACTACTTACCGGTTCATCACGGCTTCCCATTTGACATTTCTCCATCGCGAGAGATTCTCTCCAACCACAGGTTCCCCAGTGGTACGTCCGGGGTCGGTTCAATCCGTGCGCTATCAGTCCAGTACCATTAGCTCTCCAAGGGTCGCAATCCATTCTTTCCGGGCAAGCCAGTTCAGTTCCTTTCTGGTAGCAAGAGATCCCCTCGATTGGTCACTCCTCGTCGACCTTGTTATTATTAGATTTGTGCTTTTATCCAGGCTCGCCCTACGGGGTCTGGGCATCTTACCTTCCTCGAGGCCGATCTCGGAAGGCGCTAATGGCAATCCCTTTTCCTAAAATGAAATATGAGGGAAAGGCCATGGAATTCATGTATGACATCGACAATCTCTCCGACGACATGGCTGGCGAGGATGTCGACCCCAAGTCCAGTGCTTCTGCTGCTGTTGTTGTTCCATACGTGTTCTTGCTCTTTCTGTTAGAGGTCCCGCCACAGTTCCTTGTTCTAGTGTTTACCCTACATCTGTTAAGTTCTACTTCATATATGCAACTTGCTCTACTGTCTGCTCTAGACATGTTTGACTACAGTTCATATATGCAGATGCTATTTACCTTCTCTCTGTCAGATCACATGACTTTTCTTATCTCTGCTATATTAGTCATGCTTTATCTAGTATTTCTGTTAATAAAATCATTTGGTAAATTGCTCATATTTCTAACAATCCAAAAACCTTAGTATAGCAATTCGCCCCGAGTGGTTTTGCTGCTTCCATGAGACCTCATATGTTTGAGGGTATCCACTATAAGATGTGGCGCGTGAGAGTCATTTCTATGGTTTCAAACCATGAGCTACTATGACGCCACTCTTGGCAAACCTGAAGGAGAATATGATGCTCAATAGGAACAAGCTTTTCAAAAAATGGATACCCTATTTAAGGCTGCTCTCTTGAGTGTTCTTGGTGAGAACATAGTTGATACTGATGCGTCAATTGATAATGGAAAAGATATGTGGGATGCACTCAAGACCAAGTTTGGGGTCTCGGATGCTGGCACTGAGCTGTACATCATGGAGCAATTCTATGATTACAGGTTGACTGAAGAGCGCTCCGTGGTTGAGCAAGCTCATGAGATACAGTCATTTGCTAGAGAACTTGAGCACTTCAATTATTTTCTACCGAACAAGTTTGTTGCCGGAGGTATCATCACTAAGCTTCCTCCTTCGTGGAGGAACTTTGCTACCTTACTGAAGCATAAGAGGCATGAGTTTTCCGTTCCGGATCTCATTGGTACTCTTGATGTGGAAGAAAAGGAGAGAGCAAAGGACAACCGTGCTCGAGGTATTGAGGGAGGTTCTAGTGCCAATCTGGTACAGAAGAAAAACTTCCAGCCCCACAAGTTCAAGAACAAGGGCAAGTTTGATGGTAAAGCAAAGTTTGATCGGAAGAACAAGGCTATGCATCACACCAACTTCAAGAAGAAGAATGACAAGAAGAAAGGTGTTTGTCATGTGTGCAGAGATCCTGACCATTTGGCTCCTGGTTGCCATAATCATTATGACAAGCGCCATCTTGGGAAAGGCGGCAAGACCTCTAATGTTGTCATTGGTGACACTGACATGAAGGAAGCTGGGTATGGTATATCTCCCACTATTCTTTCAGTATGTCATTCTCCTGATTGGTTGATTAATACGGGTGCTAATGTGCATGTTTGCGGTGATATTTCCATGTTTTCGTCTTATCAGACCGCATGGACTTCCACCGTGCTAATGGGCAACAGTTCAAGTGCTTATGTTCATGGTGTTGGCACGGTCGATCTGAAGTTTACTTCAGGGAAGATCGTGCGGCTGAAGAACGTACATTATGTCCCCTCCGTCAATAAAAATCTTGTCAGAAGATCTCTTCTGTGTAGAGATGGCTACAAGCTTGTCTTTGAGTCAAATAAATTTGTAATATCTAAGTATGGAAGTTTTGTTGGTAAAGGCTATGAGTCAGGAGGCCTGTTTCGTTTATCATTGTCAGATGTTTGCAATAAAGTTGTTAATCATGTTTGCAATAATAGTGAATCTAATGTGTGGCGTTCGCGTCTCTGTCATGTTAATTTTGGTTGCATGTCGCGACTAGCCAAGTTGAACTTAATCCCTAGTTTCATCACTGTCAAGGAATCTAAGTGTCAAGTTTATGTGCAAGCTAAGCAACCTCGTAAGTCTCATACGACTACGAAAACGAGAAATCTTGCACCACTAGAGCTCATACATTCAGATCTATGTGAAATGAATGGTATTTTGACAAAAGGTGGAAAGAAATATTTCATGATGTTGATTGATGACTCCACTAGATATTGCCATGTGTATCTTCTGAAATCTAAGGATGAGGCTTTGAACTATTTCAAGATCTATAAAGTTGAAGTGGAAAACCAACTTGATGAAAGATCAAGAGGCTTAGGTCCGGTCGTGCTGGAGAGTATTACTCAAATGAATTTGATTCCTTTTGTGCGGAACATGGTATAATCCATGAGAGGACGCCTCCCTATTCACCTCAGTCAAATGGGGTGGCCGAAAGAAAGAATCATACTCTAACTGATTTGGTTAACGCCATGTTAGACACATCGGGTCTCTCCAAGGTATGGTGAGGGGAGGCAATATTGACGGCATGTCATGTCCTAAACCGAGTTCCCACAAAGAACAAAGAGATAACTCCATTCGAGGGAATGGGAGAAGAAAAGGTTAAAGCTCTCTTATCTACGAACCTGGGGTTGTTTGGAGAAAGTCAATGTGCCAACTCCGAAGAAGCGCAAGGTGGGACCAAAAACTGTGGATTGTGTTTTCCTGGGATATGATTTTCATAGCATTGGTTATAGATTCTCATGTTGTAAAATCTGAGGTACCTGACATGCATGTTGGTACGATCATGGAGTCGAATGATGCGACTTTCTTTGAAGATATCTTTCCCATGAAGGATATGGCTACCTCATCTACTCAGGAGATGCCTAGTTCATCGAATCAGGAACCGGTTACAATTACTGAACCAGCCATTTCGATGGAACACTTTGAAAATTCTGTGGAGGAGAATAATGAAATTCCTACTAGAAGCAAGAGATAGAGGACTACAAAGTCTTTTGGTGATGATTTTCTTGTGTATCTCATAGACGACACTCCTAGTTCTATTTCAGAGGCCTATGCATCTGAAGATGCTGACTAATGGAAGGAAGCAGTCCGTAGTGAGATGGATTCCATCTGGGCAAATGAAACTTGGGAGATAACTGATTGTCCTTATGGGTGCAAACCTATAGGGTGCAAATGGGTATTC